CTTTGCAGTACTGAGTCAGTAATTGTTATGTTCTACAAGTAGATATAACCTACTTACTTGTGTTGAAACATTCACATTGAGCAGAAAATCCTTAATATAAGTTATTATCTAAGAAAACACATTAAACATAGTACAGTGAGAACAGAAATGATTCTTGGAACTTGAAATTCACGTGTTTAGAATAGATGTCTCTTCGTATAGTTTAACAGTGAAAGAAGCAATAACTTTTGGCTAGTCAACAATTCGAAACATTCTGCTTTGAGTGAATCAATGTGATACATCCATACATGTGGTAGTAAACTTTAATTACAGAACACTTTTCGTATTACGTTAGCTGCACACAACAGTGTAACTCTCTTATTTCCTTGCTACAAAGAAGGAAAAATCAATATTTTGTAATATGGTTGACTCAGCACGATTCTCGCCCTGAAAAAAAAAGATATTTTAATAGAAGAAGGATATATATATTTCATAAATTACTCTAAAGTGCCTCGAGTTCTAAGAATACTGAAAGGTAGAAAAACGAATACGTTTCCTACATAATGGTTATTTATTCTAGACATTCTACAGCGAGAGAACCTCTAAACTATTTCTTACCGGAATAACTTCAAACAATAACTGTAATTGAAATGTATCCGAACTCATAAGTTCGGTACAACACGTGTTACTTTGTGAAAAAAAAAACAACTAATATCAGACTAAAAAAACTACTTATAAAAAGGTCTGTCGTATAAACTTTGTGAGCTTATCTGCTCATTTATCTTAAAGAACTTCAATAAAGTAATGTTAAAAGTATGTTCAACGTGCATACGTATTTCAATGAATGAGGACTAGGCTACCGTTCATTAACGTGAAATCATTTATTTAAATGAATAACCTGTTTACTGTTAATGTCGTCAAATACATGGTGTGTGTAGTTTTATTTTTTTCTAAAGTACAAAGTTATACTGGAACTATAGAATTTACATAACTAGATATATATATTATATAAGTAATATTTGATTATAAAGTTTAAATATCGCGTATTTAAGTTATTGTTACAATAGTTCAATAAGGCAATGCATGTGTGTATGTGTAATGTATGGTCATGGTGGTTTAACTATGTGTTTTATGAGTAACATGTGGTTAGATATATTGAGTTTATTATCCAGACTCAACAAGCAGAAATAAATCACTATTTTTCGTTGTAAACATTTCCGCAATCCTAAGATCAAAGTTATATATATCTTATTTAAGCAACCGTGAGATTTAAGCGAATGTATAGACAGAAAAGTATCTTTCTTGAGTACGGTGTTACATTAAGTTAGATTATATTGTGGTATAAAAAAACTATCTATTCGGTGTATATTGAATTATTATTATTATTATTAGCATTCCTACTGAAGTTATCCTGCTAACAAATATAGTTATAGATTTCTAGAATATGTTTACTCATGTTATGTTTCACTGATTTAACTCAAACAGCTCTTGACTAATGAAATGAAATACAAGTTTCCACTCTAGCTTCAGGCTCTATGACATTAACAGTGTTTCTCGCAGTGAAAGAAGCGCACCCCAGATGATAGAAGGTATTGTTGAAGTAAGGTGAATGTAACGAAAAGTAATACCAATAATACAATGTTCCTCGCAGTGAAAGAAGCGCACCCTAGATGATAGAAGGTATTGTTGAAGCAAGGTGAATGTAACGAAAAGTAATACCAATAATAAATGTTCCTCGCAGATGATAGAAGGTATTGTTGAAGTAAGGTGAATCTAACGAAAAGTAATATCAATAATACAATGTTCCTCGCAGTGAAAGAAGCGCACCCCAGATGATAGAAGGTATTGTTGAGTAAGGTGAATCTAACGAAAAGTAATACCAATAATACAATGTTCCTCGCAGTGAAAGAAGCGCACCCTAGATGATAGAAGGTATTGTTGAAGTAAGGTGAATCTAACGAAAAGTAATACTAATAATACAATGTTCCTCAGAGTGAAAGAAGCGCACCCCAGATGATAGAAAGTATTGTTGAAGTAAGGTGAATCTAACGAAAAGTAATACCAATAATACAATGTTCCTCGCAGTGAAAGAAGCGCACCATAGATGATAGAAGGTATTGTTGAAGTAAGGTGAATCTAACGAAAAGTAATACAAACGCTTAGAACGAATAAAAATAAACAGGATAGGAATAAAAAGAATATAGATTCATATACAAAGGTAATCAAAGACAACTCGTCCCCCTTTTACTGAGATTTAGAAATAGCTCATCTGAGATGTATCACATAAGAAATGACACTATAAAATTATCCAAATAGCTCATATAAATCTTTCTTCCTTGTTGATGTCAGAACAATGGCTTCTTCTATCTTCATTTGCTATTAAAAAAATGAAATTATATATATTTATTTAATTTTTTTCGGGTAGAAAATCATGTGCTTTTCAAAATCATTTTTTTTCTTTCATATTGCTTTTGGGAGTCATAAGTACAAAAAATTAATTTTATATTCGTAACAAACTGTATGCAAAAAATAAAAGCACTCATATGTTCTGGTGTTGATGCATATTGGATCTTTTAGTGACTGAACGTCTGAATTGGGAGAGTCTTTAGTGAGTTTGTAAGCCATATAAGTACAGTCAGGAGAGAAATAGAGAAATATGTATGAGATATGAAACTTACTGTATAATTTTGAATCAAAATGTGTATGTAGAGAATTTATATAAAGAATTATCGGATTATCACAGGACGTCCTTAGACAAGAGTAACTTTGCTTAACCAGTAACTACTGTAAGTAAAATAATTAATCTACAAAATCTTTATTTCACGAACAGAACAAATAGCAGAAATCTTATTCGATTAAAATATGAACACACATTTTTTTAAACAACTTTATTGACATCTTCATCAGTATAACACATTGTTGAAATTAATTTTGTTGTGAGAAATATACTCGAAATATTACACTTATATTGTTGAATTGTATATATTTCTCATGATTACACTCATATTTTTAAATTGTATATATTTGTACTATATTTCTCATGATTACACTTATATTGTTAAATTGTATATATTTCTCATGATTACACTTATATTGTTAAATTGTATATATTTCTCATGATTACACTTATATTGTTAACTTAATTATATATATTTCTCATGATTACACTTATATTGTAAAATTGTATATATTTCTCATGATTAGCTTTGATAAGGAATAACTTTTTTCAACTAATTAGCTTGTGAGCTTTTATGTAACCATATTTGTATTTGATTAATAATAGTAGATTACACAACTCAGTCCTTTTTAGCCGTGGGGGCGTTATAATGTTACGGTCAATCCTACTAAACAAACAAACACAACTCAGTTGTAATATTTAGCTCACCATTTCCATATCTTTATTATAATTATTATAGGTTCTACTTCATATATATTTGTTCAAACCTTTCATTAGTAAAAATATTTTTGTTTTGTTCTGTGATAAAAATATTTGTTTCATTGCACATTTTACGAGATATTCTCTGACGACATATTGGTTTGTTTGTTTTGAATTTCGCGAAAAGCTACACGAGGGCTATCTGCGCTAGCCCTCCCTAATTTAGCAATGTAAGACTAGAGGGAAGACAGTGAGACATCACCACCAACTCTTGAGCTACTCTTTTAACAACGAATAGTGGGATTGACTGTGACATTATAATGGCCCCACGGCTGAAAGCGCGAGCATGGTTGTTGGGATGGGGATTCGAACCCGTGACACTCAGATTGCGAGTCAAGCGCCCTAACTACCTGGCCGTTGCCATATTAGATCATACGTGTAAAATTAGATTAAGCTCATATGATATAATTATATACAGTGATATACGTTTTAGTAATTGTAGATATCTTTGAAATTATTCCTTTGTTACCAAATATCTTTATTATATGCTGTTTTAAGACTTTTCTAAGTCGTTGCATTTCATTCCACATTCCTTAATGTTTGGTTTGAAATCATGTTCTATAGTTCTATAAAAACTTTCCACTGTTTTCTATAATGAAACATATAGAGTAATCTGATACTTCCTATTATAGTCTGAAAAATCTATAATTCGGTATTTTATTAAATAGTGAAACATATTCCTGGTTCTATAAGAAATCTTGTTTTGCAATGATAAAAATGTGTTCCCTAATTTCTTTACTAAAACTTTTTGTGATAAAAAAAAACCTGTAAACTAACATACGTATTAGTTTTAACGTTTCAGTTGCAATAAGATGACTGCCAAGAAGATATGTACTGCGTTATTTAGTAATAGCACGCCACGAATATATATATTTATAACCCAACTCACGGTGAGGCAGTTTGAAAGTTAAATCCCTTGCTAGTTAAAATAGTACCGTGTATCTCTAAGCTAGTTTTTCGTGCTAGTTGATCAACAAATAATAGTTGAAAATAATGCTTCTAGTGAGTATATGAATTAATACTTTCGTTATAGGTTAACTCTGAACGGTTATATTGTGTTTCGAGAACTGGAAAAAAAAAGCACTTCGTCTCAAATATTACAACTGAAGTATAATGTTATGAAAAGCAACAAATGAAAAACTGAATTATTATAACGTTTTCTAGACTTAACAAAGGTTTAAAGCTCAAATATTTACGAAGACTAATTTTCCGATTTATGGAAAACTGAGCTCTTAAGAAAATTACTAACTATACAGACTTATTGCCACTATTTATGCTTTGATTCCATTAAATGTGATTAGACTTTAAAATAGTGGAAATTATATATATTCTAAATCACCTACAAAATAATATTTATTTAATCCCAAAAATTAAATGATTCGAAAAATTAGTTGCCACATACACACACACCTAATGCCTTTCTATATTACACGTGAAATCACAGAAAAGGGCTAAGCCTAATGGTAGCCATTTTGTCTGCTATCTTAGACAAAATGTTGAGTTGATTGTCCATATATATATAGCAGAAATGTATAGTGAATACTTTTTTCTGTGCGTTTCAGAAGTATTGAAAAGGTATGCTTACCAGCTAGCGACATCCAAGGATAGCGATGGATATCTGGAATCGGATCGGGTCGCATACCAAGTTGAGAACACGATGATAACGGTGAAGCGAGGTTATGGTTTGCGGGGTGCGGGAAAAATTGAGTCGGAGCCATCATTGTTGAAGCCGCTGCGGCCCCCCCTGAAACAGCCACAGCTGCGGCAGCTGCTGCACAGTTTTGTAAGTTGAAGGGATAACTTGCAACGGCAGTATCCATGGGATTGTTCTGGGTGTTGGAGTAACGACATGACTTAGCAATATCGGCATTAGAAGTATAATATAAATTTCCATTTACTGGCACCGAGGACTGTGGGGAGAGGGAAACGTAGGGGTACATTCTGTGTTGTGTATGCCCATAGCCGGCCAAAGCTGACGACCCTGCTGGCCCGGGATCAGCTGAGTACTTGCTCCCAAGGACGCTGTCCATAAAATTTGAACTCATTTTACATCATATTTCCAACAAAACTTCAAAAGACTAGCTTTACACCTCGTATATGGCTTCTAGTCGTAATGACCACTGCACATCAGCCTCTGGAACCGCGTAAACATGGCACGCCAATCGCAGGCCCCAGGGCCTTCGTCAGCCAATGACTCGCCGCTTCCGCTCAGAATAGATTATCATCGCTCGAGGATTTTTTTCTTTCTGTAAAAGACAACTTCGTTTTTTAATGAACTAAATATCCTTTGTCGTAACAATTTTTTGTTTTAATACAAAAAAAAGGAGGTTCGCCAGGGATGTCAACAATTCTGCTTTGAAATTTTGTGAATACTGGACAGTATATCTCAGAAACCTGGGTTTCACGAACAAATCACACTAACTGGTCTGTACTCTTAAATAATCATATTAGCACATAATCAAACAAAATAGTTTTTTTTAAAAGTAAAATAGAGTAAGATATTTAAATATATCGCCAGTGATAGTACGTTGCTTAATGAGTAAGATATTTAAATATATCGCCAGTGATAGTACGTTGCTTAATGAGTAAGATATTTAAATATATCGCCAGTGATAGTACGTTGCTTAATGAAATGCGTTTTTTTGTGTGTGTGTGTGTGTGTTGAAAGAGGACATATACGTGCAAATAAACCCTGTAATCCTTAATAAACAGAGCTTAAATTAGTGATTTCTTTCCTAGCAGACGTTGCGCTACGCTCTGCC